TTAATGATAGTTTGAATTGTTCCTCTTGGTTCTATGGCAGTTTTCTGTAGGATTTTCTATTCACATCTACACATAAGTTCACTTCAAGGTGATTTAATACTTTTGGTTTAGAATTTTACTGCAGAGGGAAAATCCTCTCCATCTGTAGCATCAATTTAAAAAAATAAATGAAACCACTGCAGAAACAAAATAGTTCTATTGCATTTGGAGGAAGTAAAAAAAATATATGCAGTTAAATCTCATGATTAATGTGTTTGGGTGGTGACGAGACCAGACTGCCACCGTCTCCTCCGTCCCTGCTGCTGTCACTCACCCACAGTCTTTGTACAGTCTTTGTTAGTCCAGAAAAGAACAGGTTCTGCCCCAGGAACCACAGGTTGGTCTACTCTAATTCTGCTGAAGGCTCCGCTTCAGCTTTCAGACCAAGGCTCTGATGGGGAAGGAGAAGGCGGCCCCCAGTGCCAAACCCAGGGACAGGAAGAAGGCCATGATGGCTCCTGCCGTCTCCGCCTCGTGCGGCGACACTTTCCTGTTCAGAATAAAAAGAAGTAATTTAACGACTGAAGCTCTTTGGACTGAAATCTCTGTGTTTTTTTGGTCTGATTAACTCTCCGAAATAAAACAGTTGCAGCTTTCAAGTTTTCTCTGACAACACGAAATTCAAAGAGTTGATTTCTAACTTTGGTTTATGAGTGTGTGTGTGTGTTTGTTTACTTTGGTCCGAAGCACATGCAGAGACTGGCCAGGTATCCGTTGGAGAAAGAGAAGAGAGTCATGAAGATGATGTACCAGGCGTCGTGGCCAAACAGCACTGGGAGATAGTGACGAGGCTCAACGTTGCACAACATGAAGAGAGGGATGAAGACGACTCGGAGGACCACCAGGACGGGCAGCCACAGACTGTCTTTACCTGGCTGCAGACCAAAGAAGAAGAGAAAACATCAGGGTTTATCCTGGAGTGAGGCTTCTGCTAACAGAGAAACCGAGCCACGAAAGGACCGGAAACAATTTTTGTCCTCTGAGTAGAGATGTTAAAAAATATTGATACACTGGAATATTGTGATATTTCCTTTCCTGATTCTGTATGAATCTCCTCCATCAGTTATTGATTTTT